AACAACTCTCCTGGCTTTACAAATAAAATTTCCAAACAAAATCGGACGCAAAAGGAAGATATGTGACGTTCGCAGTGCGACCCTAAGCAGACCAAAAGTATACTAACCGCAAACGGAACAGTCGTTTTTAGTCAGCTGACATGTGGTTAAGCGGCCCAGGGCGAATTTAGTCAGTGTGATTAGGCTCCTAGTTCAACTACACACGGTATAACAACCGATATAGGACTTACCAGAGTTAACCAGGAGCACTTTCGTCAATAGCCACAGCCAAGCAAATAGATGTATGAACAGAAACTGCAACAATATATACAAACTGTTGAAAGTGGAATAAAAAATTAACCTGGACCCTAATGTTGATATACCTGACTGAAGGCTAAATGTGAAAAGGTGTAGAAATTTGTACGTAACTGCCCACCTATATCTTGTTTTTTGTTATGAATATTTGGTAAACACAGCCCATCGTTTGCGGTTATGCCTCCGTTATATAAGAGAAAATTAAGTTACTAAAGTCATTTACTTACTTACTTTACAGTTCACCCTTCAAATGAAGACCCCTGTATTCGATACCATTTTTTAAAGTAGCAATTGATCACCTATCTCTTAACAATAAACTCGCCCTCAAATTCTGAGACCCCTTTAATTTGATACCGTGATCACCTAAGTAACAAAATGTCCTCAAATTAACGACCAAACTTGGACAAAATTTTTAACAATGCACCATTGTTAAAAATGACTACTTATAATTAATATAGAGGTTCATTTGAAACATAATTAAAAACATAAGTTGCCGTAAGTTTATCTTTAATATTAATATTATTTTGAAATCCACGAGATTTTCGAATGAATATATTCCAGTGGAAGACAATTGCTTGAGCATTCTATTTGATTTTAGTGCTGTTTTTGAGAGAGTTATTATGCTACAGTCAAACAAAAAATAAATCAATAATTATTGACCAAACAAAACAAGTCGCCGATTTTTTTTTTTTTTTTTAATTTCAGTTTTTGGAATGAGTTATTATGCTACAATATTTGAACACTGAGGTTAAATGTTAGATTTTAAAAAGGACACAACAAATGCACTTATATAAATTTTTTACTATAAATTTATCAAAGACAACCTTTTGTCTAGACAACAGTCAGTCAAACAAAAAATACATCAAAATATCATTGACCGAACCAAACAAATCATCGATTTTATTGTCAAATTTCAGGTTTTGCAAAGTTTACTATTTGTTATTTTTCACAATGTATGATGTGGCAAAATAAATTGTAACGATTCATTTTACTTCTTTTATAAAGAAACATTTATTTATCATTATTATCAGCGTATTTATTAATAATATTAGAACGGTATATAGTAAAGTAAATCCCTTACAAAAAAAAAATCTAATCCAGGACGTAAAACCTATACAGTTAATTGTTATGTGTCCTAAAATGTCGCACTAACAGACATCCTCTGTTTCCCATTGCAACGCGGGTCTGCCATGGGCATCAGTATCCAAATGGGTGACAACAGCTTATTCTCGAACGAATCAATCGTATTTATTTTATATGCGTCCCGACTTAATATATTGGTCTTCAAACACATAATTTTAATGGCTTGCAATGTTGCCCGTTGAAACATACTCCTGGTACCCATCAGGTAATTAAAAAAATATAATGTATGATATGTTGTGCGTACTGTCAGTGATACTTACAGTTTAAATAAAAAAACATTTTTGTTGGTATCATGGTAACTCTCTGACTACCCGTATCGCGGTAGCAAATATGAACATTGCAATTTATTACAGTATTGTTTGGTAAAATTAGCGAAGATTTTAAATTAACTCTTCCCTAGTATAATACAGTTTAGTCTATCTGTGCGACCATTTTTGTTATACCTTGTTTTGTGAACTTTTTTTTTAATTGTCTGAAGAAAAAATAAAATTTTTATTTCTTATTTAGTGAATGTTTTTTGCAGACAGAAATAAAATTAACATGTTATCGTCGAACGTAATGGCAGAGTTCAATGCTTTAAATTTATACAAGCCTAACTAGGAAGAAATTATACAGATCTTTTTTTTTGAGCGGCAGGCGTAATAAAATAAAGACAGGCCTTTTTTCTGAAATTTCTAGTTTATTCGTGGCGGTGGATGCGCTAATTGTTCAAAAATTAAATTGCATTTTTATTCCAAATCATTATTTTTGTGGGCGGCAAATTTGCTAAACAAGGTATAAATAAGTCTCACCTAATTCTCATAAGTATATAGTCACGTTTGTTCTAATCAGTGCTTTTGATATCGCACCACCGCGAACACTTTCGAAGTTTTTTTTATGATTTACCTCTTGTCAACAAATACAATCAAACTACTTAACAATTCTAATTAAAAATTAGACACGGCGATGGTGCACCGTAGGCTGCGTCAAACTGTTAATAGGCTTAAGCAACAGTATTGAAGAAAATATTACAAAACCTATAAGACAAACAGACCAACACAAGTCCAAGGAAATGCTTGCAGTAGGTAACAGAACAACATGCCTGCTATTAAAAACCAAGGAAGAGTGAATTCTCACACCAAATGTATTTTCTTGTTTACTGCTTGTGTTTAGGCTATTTTTTCTTTTTTTTTTCTTTTGTTTTTGTTAATGTATCCTGTTTTTTGTTTTTTGTATTTTTTTAGAGGTTTCAGAAATTAACATGGTGAAACCTCTCAATTTATATCACGTAAAATTAAGCAAATTTTCCGCGCCTTCGGCTGCTGGCCCCGAGCCTAGTTACTCACTGCGCTCGCAATGCTAGAACCCCCCCCCCACCCCGATGATACTACCTCAACTTTCAAAGTCCCAAAGGTGATCTCAAATTGGAGGGCGAACTCTATATTTTTTTTATTTAATGAGGAGAGTGTCAATACTTCTTTAAATTAATGTACACATTTTGTGCCTAGCTTTTCTAAGCTATCAATATTATTTGTATAAATTGTTTGCCTTATGTTTAATAATGAACATGACATAGAAAAACTTAAAAGTAATATCCTGTCTCTTAGACACATCT